CTACTTGGAAACAACCCTAATTTTAAGACGCTGTTAGAAACAGTGGCAACCACTGCAGTCTTAGAAGAGCACCATTCCTATTTAAAGCCGTTTACAAAGTAGAAATAAAACCATTTTGTTAACAGTCATTACACAGAGGAATCACTTAACTGCCCTTCCCCCATGGCCACAGTACTTTAGAGCTTACTCATTAATGCCCTGACTTATGGATTTTGGTTTTCAAATTTCTAAGACACAGACAATTATTTCCTCGTTATAAAAATTAAATCAGATGCATAGCTTAAGTTCTAATGTTAGAAACTATATGCATGTTTCAGATGTACAAATATGTGGGCTCCGGAGGCAACAGGCAAATCTGAACTAAGGGGAGGAAATCCTTTCATGTCATCTAATATTCCCCTAAGTGGTAACAAATTAGTTGCCAAGTATCTCTCTCTTTGGGTGGTGTGGTTTAGCGCTTTCAAGGCAGGGAAAATAAGCTTAACTTCTGATTTGTGTTAAATTCTTGCCTGTGAGTGAGACAGATTATAATAAAAAGAGGTAGATTTACTCTGAGGTAAGAAATTTTATGGACTGCTTTCTTCACATTTCCTTTGAAGTGAACGCCACAGAGTTGGAACACCCAAGGATTGTTCTCCTCACTTTTCCCAAAATAACCCTGTTCAGCAGAGCCCCCCCCCCCCAAATCTTTGTTAATCGTTGCTGGCTTAAATAGTGTTAAATAGTGTTTTTATATTATTATAGGTAGTAATTGTTGGCGCCTATTACGCATCGCTGAATTGGCTATGCATCTCTCTTGATACGGTAGCATTACAACATTAAAATCACATTGTAAGCATGAAGTATGGTAACAACCTTTGTAGAAGATTACTAAAATCCAATAATTGAAGGGCAGATAACTTCATGATTTGCCTAAATATTTTTTTTTCCTTACATAGATGTAACTTCCACAATGACAGTTACTTTGAAGGTATATTTTGGCACAAAATGATTGCTTGTCTACTTAATCTTACCTCTAAGATTAAGTAACTAGACTGTTTAGTCTACCTTAAAAAAAGAGAGCGTTTTCAGGTATGTCAGCCAATGTGAACATACAGATTTCAGACATCTTTTTGTCTGAATCAATTTGAATTATATAAAATTCTAAACTGAGAGGTAGTCAAATTATTGGGTCAATAGTAGATATTAAATAAAAAGCTTTACATATGCATGTCCATTATATACTTATATAATATAATTTTTTACATATACATATATATAAATACATATATAGTGTATATACAGAGGGTGCCAAAATAATGTATACACATTTTAAGAAAGGAAAAAACTGTTAAAATTACGCTGATGGTAACTGCTTTGAGCACGTCTTGTAACTGCAGAAGTCAAACGTGACATATTCATCTTATGTTATTGGTATATATGGAGTATTACAATTTTAATACAGTTTTTCCTATCTTAAAATGTGTATACTTTTTTTGTCACCCTCTGTGTGTGTGTGTGTGTGTGTGTGTGTGTGTGTGTGTGTAATGATATGTGTGTGTATGGTTTTTGGTACAGCTGAACTGAAAGTACTATAGTCATCTGCATGACGTTATATGGTTTGCCAAAAAAAAGTCGTATAAATTAAGATGCAAAATTGAACTAATTAGGATGACTGTATTTTGATCCTTCCCTTTGGGAGCTTGTGTAATAGTCAGATGTGGCTATAGGAGTCTAGAAAATGATTCTTAATACTAAACAAGTGTTTAAATTTATCTGATTGTCACATGATCCTTCAGGGAATCATTCATTTTAAAAATTAGACATTGTACACTTCCCCTATAGGCGTAACTGCCTGGCTTTCCAGCTGTTGGACTTCAGAATTGTTTTCTCTTTGCCGTATAAACATGCTTATCTCTCAGTTTTTCTCATCTGCATATCGTCTGGGTCATGTCATCTCTCTGGCAAAGGGTGCGTTCTGTGCAAGGGTAATCATGCTATATTGAGGAAAGGATGAAAATGAAGGTAAATACTTTCTTTATAACCCCAGATTCATCCAGAAAAAAAAAGTGAATCTTGGATCAATTATTTTTGCTTTGATTTCTTCTGTGCAGGGTCTCTGAATTTGTTTCCTGATACAAATACCTAGTATATGCAAATAGTGGCTGTCTATATAATTTGCTTCTTTTTTATTTATTTCTATCATTTATAATTCAACATACCTCTTTTGGGGTCTATTTCCCTAAGGTACAAAAATGTGATTATTTATCTTTATAGTCCTATGTCTTGAGAAAATACTCCACGCTATCATCCTTCATTATAGCCATTTAGTTTATTGAGGGAATTTAAAAAATATATTTAAAAAGGTACACATGGTAGAAATCGTCCTACTATAACTCTTCTTTCTTTAAACCCCTTCACTTTCCTCTTTCTTCCTTCTCTCCCTTCACTTAGCTTTCCTTCTTCCCTCTTTTATTCTTCCATTTTTTTCTTTGTTTTTTGTCTTGCTAGTCATTCATTATATGAATGACCTATGTCTTTTTTATGTACCTACCTATTCATCTATTTATTTATGTTCCTTCAGAAATAATTTCACTCTCCCATAAATCCTTCTTTGACCCCTGGCAGTTATTGTTCACTTTATGCTCCCAGTTTCTGCTGCTTGTACAAAACTGTCCATTCGATTTTCTTCCCTGTCTGTGCACTGCTGCCATCAAAATTACAGTCCAATCGCAAGGTGAACAGCTTATAATGTATCACAATCAATACTCAAAATTATCTCCCTAGGATGTGTCATAAAGGAGTCAAGTAAAAAGCTGCAGATTTTCAGCAGTGAAGTGCAAACAATCATTTTATGTTGATGGTTTCAAATTCAAGGTTGATCTACACTTTCATATATCTGCATTATTCCATCTCTTCCATTCTCTTCTTATATTCATATTGAATTTATTCAGTGCTAGGCTTTCCAAATGGCTGAAAGGTAAGGGCCAGTCAATATCGGGATACCGAACTATGTTAGTATGTTTCAAAGAGAATGTATGGGTTGTGAATGAATTTTTTAAACATCATGGTTCTAAAAGATACAAAAGTATTACCAAGTAAAATGGATAGTAAAGTTTTCTACTGCATTTTGAAGATTAGAATTGGTTGAATGAAATTGTACATTTCCTTTTTTTCTAACACTCACTAACAGAGACATACAGGGTAGTTTTTATGATTACCATTCAGAATAGGTAAGGGAAATAAATACTTAATATTAAACTTTTTTGAATATACTCTTTAAAAATAAAATTTCTTTTCTATTTTATATATGAAGATTTCCTAGAAAAATTTATATGCCTTGATTCTTCTACTTTTGTTTGTGTTGCTCTGCCTAACAACCTTTCAAGTCTTAGGTAGTATAACATTTGAGCATCTGGGTGCATAGTTCAGTTTGAGACTACATGTAAACTTTTCACCTGCATTACATAATAAACAACATATTTCCTTAACTCATAGGTGAATGTATTTTTAAAAACATGAAAAACTTAAAGTAGAGACAAGCTACCTAAAGACTTTTTAAGCCTTTTACTAATGAGAATGCTACTTGCTCCGAAATACCACAGTGTTTTTGTTCTGTCAAGACACCATTTTGATTTCTTTATGAAAAATATTAGTCTCATAAGAAATTATTTTATCCTAAAACCTTCTGAGATATATCAAGTTGTAGTTTATTTTTCTTTTTGGAGAGGGAATTATTTATGTTTTTAAATATGAACTCGGGTTTTATTTATGATTTTGAAAAGTAGCCGTGTAAATTTTCAATGCTGTTAAATTGCTGGTTTTTATTGTAAATATCTTTCGTGTGAACTTTTTTTTTGATTGCACAGGACACTGTAAATTTGTAGAGATCCTCTGTCATCATTTAAATGGTAACCCCAAGGGTTTCTAAACGTGTAGGAAATTCTCTTCCCATCATGTAGAGGTAAATCGTAAATATCCTCTCCTGAAAAAAAAAAAAAAGTACCTGATTTTAAAAGTATCATTAAACATTAAGGCAAGTAACCATTTGTAGATGACAGAAGTCAACTGGAAAGATTTAGTTCAAAGTCATAGTTTAAAATATTGGGGTCATGGCTGTATGAAGGAATTTTCTTTCACATTTTCTTGCTCAGCACCTTTGAAGTAGGAATCACTAAAGAACGCTTTATTTAGAATTTTTATACACCTATTGGCAAAAGAGAGAAGCAAAAATTCTCACAGAAAGCATTATTGTTTAAAATAGGAAATCATGACTTGTCATCCATTCTGAACTATATCTAGTGACTAAATTCATTCTCAACTACTTACACCAAAACCAAGAAGCCAAAGTGAAGAAAACTGATTACATGATCCACACTCATATCTAATAAAATAGGAATGTGCACTTTTTGATCAGCTTTTCTAGAATACATTCTGATAGAAAATTCCATTTATGACCCTCAGGAGGCAAAGTGGATTTTTAAAGGAAACCTTTTATTTTACGACTGTCACCAAAATAACAATTACAAGCCAAATGTGGCTAAAACATAAAAAAAAAAAACCAAATCAAAACAGCAACAACTAAAAAAGCTTAGGGCTTTGCAATCCAGTTTTTGCCCTGTTATTTGATTTGAAAAATTAATCTTGTTAATCCTTTTTGAAGTTCCCTGTTTCCAGGATGGATTATGCAGAACAAAGTCTAACTGATATCTCCAGAAAATGAGTTTACAGTGATGTAGTACTGGGCCGAGAATGGTTCTCCAGTGGCCACGTTTTACTAGTTCCGAGGCCATGAGAATTCATTAATATCTAGAGAATAGACTTAAATAAAAATCATTCTCTCATCCCGCAGGTTTATGCAACCCTCCTGAAACATTTTAATTATTGTTGTCTTTTCCTTTTTAATTAATAGACCAGAGGTCCAGCAAGCCCGCTGAAAGCTGGTCCGCAGCCTGGATAGAAATGCAGAGGCCACCCTTGTGACTGGATTTGCTGTTTTTTTGTTTTGTTTTGTTTTGCAGAACCAGAAGAGTGCGTTAATTGCACGGATGAATGCCGAGTGCTTGGTCATTCTGACAGGTGTTGGATGCCACAGTTCCCTGCAGCCAATCAGGCTGAAAATGCAGATTACCGCACAAATCTCTTCGTACCCACGGTGGAAACGAATGTGGAGACTGAGTCGTACGAAACTGTGAATCCCACTGGGAAAAAGACTTTTTGTACATTTGGAAAAGACAAGCGAGAGCACACTATTCTCATTGCCAATGTGAAACCTTATTTAAAAGCCAAACGTGCCCTGAGCCCTCTCCTCCAGGAGGTCCCCTCAGCATCCAGCAGCCCGACCAAGGCCTGCGTCGAGCCTTGCACCTCAACAAAAGGCACTCTGGATGGTTGCGAGGCGAAAGCAGGAGCCCTGGCCGAAGCGAGCAGCCAGTACGTGCCCACTGACAGTCAGTACCTGTCGCCCAGTAAGCAGCCCAGAGACCCTCCCTTCCCAGCTTCCGATCAGATGGCAAGGGTCTTCGCAGACGTGCATTCCAGAGCCAGCCGGGATTCCAGCGAGATGGGGGCCGCTCTGGAGCAGCTGGACCACCCCAACAGGGATCTGGGTCGAGAGTCCGTGGATGCAGACGAGGTCGTGAGAGAAATCGATAAGCTTCTGCAGGACTGCCGGGGCAATGACCCTGTGGCTGTGAGAAAGTGATGGGGGGGGAGGGAAAATGAGCATTGGCATTTTCTTGTCTCTTCTGTTGATTTAAATATGATGCCTCCTGGTGACAACCCGGTAGACGGGGATGAAGAGAGACCAATGCTACTTTAAGGCTTTTAGTGAACATCTGAAGTGCCCACAAGTATGTTCTTTTCACTGCTGTTTCTTTTTCAGATAACAATGGTTTTTGTTTTGACCAAACTTCTATTAGGACAGAAATAATGATGCTCAAAGAGAAAAGAAAAAAAGGGAGAGATAGAGAGAGAGAGAAGAAAAAGGAGAGAAGATACAGGAGGCTGAGGAAGCAAGTTACCTTTTGACAATCTGTTAGGAAGGTATGCCGTGAGAGCCTTGACCTATTTCTGACCACTCTGAGACTGTCCTCCGTGATTTATGCTGACTTAACTGTTTACCTATAAACCCCATACAAAGCAGGGTCATAATTTGTGATCTGTGGTGGATTTCTAGCAGTCCTCATAGGCTTCTACTGAAAGTCCCGAGAAGACCTTGCAGTAGTCCAAGCTACACCAAACATTAACACGTATTTGTGGTAAACATTTCTGTACAAAGTTACCTGCCACACATATAAAACACAAACAACATTCCATATCATGAGTCGGAGAAAAATTTAAAAAGCAAAAAAAAAAATAAATAAATAAACTTGGTCATTTGTAAGACACCTTATGTTGTATAAAAGTTAAGTGTAAAAAGATATAGTCCATTTTGTCCTGCACACACATAGACTAATTCACTTCATTAAAGGAGAAGAAGCTGTAAAGGTTAAAAATGCCTCTTTAGCATTTTAGTGTCCACAAACATCTAAACAAGGGTGGATATGTTTTCGAGTTGACCTAGAAAAGTTTTGAAAAAATTGAGAATATTCAGAGAAAATTTATGCTGGGACTATGTGCTACTCATTTGTGGACACTAAAATAGCTCAGGAAAGTGAAAAACGTCTTAGACATACACAGATCACATGACCATTTAAATGTGCAAATGTATGAAGATTCAATGTGTTTACATCAAATGACATATTTTTTATTGATTTATTGCAGATTCAGTGCATATGAGCCAAATTGTTGAGTGTATAAGAGCTATATTGTGTATTTTATTAAATTAATATATAGTTGTGTTGCAAAAATATTTGGGCTTATATTGTAAATGGCAAGTGTCGCCTCGGTAGCTGTCGAACTCTATGAGTTTTGTTTTTTCCTGCTTCCTTTTCCCCATGGAGTGTGGGAAGCAGTGCCTGAGAGCAAAGTCTCTTGTTTAATGTATAGTCTCCCAAGTACTACAGTACATAATCTGTTCAAAATGTGTTTGAGTGAGCTGATGGAGCTATCTGAAAGGTCAAAAAACGACATCTGTCCGTCATGATTATGTGCAAGTCCTTGTAGAAGCTTTTATTAAAGTCATGCTAAATCATAAGAATTACATTTGTACCAATAACTGAACCTTCTTCATGTTTCCTCAATGACACACAGATTCGGCCTTTGTAGATACCATACTGTTTGTTGATTAGTTTTTAAAAGTATGTTGGGTGGTTCAAGATGTGTGTTTCCCTTTACTTCAAAACCATGAAAAATGCTTTGATGCATGTGTGATACCAGCATTGGTTACTTGCATTGTGTAGTGTTTTTCAGGAGGTCTGGGTCTTCACGAAACGGTCTTCCTTTTTTTCAGCACCCTTCTGCCTCTTGTTTCTTGGCATCCTTTGAGAACAATGCACCTTCTATTCCTTCATTGGGTGACATCTTTTCTTGTGACATTTAGCAAGTTTCAAACGTACTTCCAGATGAGGCTAGGACACCTCAAATTTCAGGAATTGGGGAAACATAAAATTATCACTTGCAGAAGTTAGTAGCAGCAGATGGGGAAATGCCTTGATTGACATTATCCTTCCGTGTTTAAATTTTTTGGCATTTTACAGCTTCATGACAAACAGCTTCCAGCCCATACCTTAGAAAATGTGGTGCTGAGTTAAATAAAGGCTGTTTGTGCACTGGAGCAAACAAACAAAAAAATGCATTATTTGCAAACTGGTGGGGAACTCTGTGCCTTTTTTTCTGGCCACTAAGCCAGTGTAGAAACAGCATAAATGTCGTAAAATTCTTCTATGAAAATTAGAAAAACAAGAATAAAAACAAACATTGAACTGGATTCAGTTTTGTAATTTCAAACTTCAACAAATTCAACTGAAAATATTTCTGTCAGATGCTGTCAAGACTTTAGACTGTACCTCGTTTGCAAAACTGCTTTGAAAGGAAGAGTGGACAACTCCCATCAGCCTTATTCTCGCGAGAACTGAATTTGGTTCCTAGTAACAGCCTTTCCAAAGTTCTAGTCTTGATTTTTCTTATTCGTCAATGTTTAAATTAGAAAAGAAAGGATCTTGTACATGTGAAACCTAATTGACTATATTTTGGACAATTTATGTATCTGAAATGTGTTGTCTCTGTTATATGATGTTATTTTCTGCCAGGAGACTGACTACAGGTTGATTTAGCTCGATAGCAGAAATTTGATGGGAAACCAATTTCCATTTCGTCTTCCCAGTGTTGCCTCTCTCTTACTAGACAGATAGCCAATTAGGGAAATCTAAGGCACTATGTAAATGAAACCAACAAAGAGAGTAGGGTTTATTTTAAAAACATGCTTAACGTGGAGTAACCGGTTGTTCAATTTATTATATGTGTCTGAAGACATTAAAACACTAGAAGATTTTAAGGATTGGTTGTGCCCATGTGTGAGGGATTTACCTTTAGGCCATCTGTCACCAGTGATTTACTAGTGTTAGCTGTTTAACACATTATCTGTATTTAGTAGTGATTATTTATTTACAAGTGGGTGGTAATTCAGCAGTCAGGACTTGAAGCTTTTATAGTTGAGTTGAGGGAACCTTGCTTTTATCCGTTTGGCTGGCAACTGCCTTTATCACAGACCTCTGGTGCTTGGCTTCCAAGGAAGTCCATGAGATGCCAAAATCACCCCTTTGGGGAGCAGATTGCTCTAAGGGGTGATGCATGATCAAACAGTGATAGTACTAGGGGTTTCAGCATCACTCAGAATCTGAAAAAAATTGTCTTGATTCACATCCTCCATTTACTAACCCCTCAAAAAAAATATCCCACACGTTTAAAATGAATAATTGGATAACACTTTGTCTTTTAGCTCCTTAAATAACTGAAGTCAAGCACAGAAAAAGAAATTGATGGGAATTTTTGTAAGAAAGTCAACGTTTTAGAAATTTATTGATGAACTAAAACAGATCAGTAACAAAACAATCTTTTCATTAAACATGAATGATGAAAGATCTTTTCATCAAAGGTAAAAGTAGTGAGAATCAGTGTTAGTGACACCTATACCAAAGTAAACATTAAAGGGACATATCATGCAATTTCAAAGAATGCTGTCATAATTCTTAACCCGACATACTTATTGCAAGCGATATACAAAGATTGGCTCACTACTCCATAAATTAATTGAATTCCTATTTGAGAAATTGACTTGTTCTGTTTTCCTACATTAACTGAGATTTTGTAAAACATGACTTCCCTTTAAAGGACCTGGGCCCTGCTCAATTTAAAAAATGACACCATAAAAAAAAAGTAAAAAAAAAAAGTCATGTAGTAATAGAGCAGTATGCTTTATTAGAACCAGGTTAAAAGCTGTTTATTGCCTAATGGAGAAGTTGCTGAGGTCAACAGGTAGATTGAAGTCTGGCATAATATATGCCCAGTCATTATTGTCTAATTACATTCTTTGGACAACAGATGGCATTTATCAGAGCATTGATTCAAATGAGAACTTTGGCAATCAAGATGTGTTGATTTGAAACGTAATTGAATGAGACCTGATTAAAGTGTGACTTTCCTGGCCCCAGCGTTTGGCAGGTTGGCTATCCCCATTTATCAGCCCCATCACTCCATAAGGTTCTCAGCTGCACCAAGTAATTGGTGAACAAAGACGACAACAAAAGCAGCATACATTGTATGGATTTATCTCAATGCTATTGTTTAATGGCTGTGTTTAATGTGACCTATTTGGAAAATGAGGACTCCGAATAAAAAGCTATTACTAATAGTGGCATTGCATTCCCTTGAATTCATTGACACACCAGTGATGTGTTACACACTGCATACCACAGGAACCCTGATCATAATTATTTTGGAAAGTAACTGTGGCATCACAATTGGTTTTTGCCAGTTATTTGTTTGCCAGTAAAAGAAGATTTTTCAAAATTGTGCATAACAGGAATGCCACTCGGTTCTCACATGAATGGGTTATAGATTTTCAGATGTCCTAGATAAGTTGGCTAGCCAAATAATTACCAGGGAATCATAGCTTAATGCTACTAGTGGCTTTTAATAGTTACCATCGGTTTGAAGATAATTTGGTACGAGATCCTAAAGGACTTCAGAAAAGTCATTTTTATAAGCCCCCTTATCATCTTACATGAGCTATTAAAGCACATATTTATAAATGGCATTTTGAAATAAATGCTTGTTTATCATGGCATCTTAAAAAAATGAGCCTCTCTTTCTACTAATTCAACAAACATCTACTGAATTTCTGTTGTGTGTTTGCTCTGGGCTGTCATGCCCCAGGAGTAAACAGTAAACAAGGAATGATGCCTGGGTCACAGTCTGGTGAGTAAAACAAATGGGTAAGTTCTAATTCACATTACTGTTTATAAATTGGATTCAGTGGTTTGTGTTTCCTCAGTTACTCCACATATCCCATAGTTTTGCTATCTCACTCTCAGTGAGTGGCATCTCCTAAATCACAAACTAGCATAATACTCTGCCCCTTTAGATTTTTTCATTTAATTTTACTTTTCTTCCGAAAACATAACATAGTATCAAGAAAAGTGCATTGCTTTTTTGTACTTAAGACGTGTTTTAGAGCTATTGGGTAGACTAAATGGCTTATATATTCATTCTTTTGCTCACTTCTTTTTTTGTTCACTTCTCTGTTTCTTTTTCATTGAGCATCACTCAGGTGATGTACAAAGAACTAAATCAATTACATTTTACCCTCAGAGAACTTATTGTTTGTGCTTAGGTGATAACACACGAAAATAGGAATTGACCTTATGTTGCCTTGACACTATGACTTTTTCATAATGAAAATCATTTCACTTTTAAGAAGAGCAGAGGCCACATACCCACCAGCCATTCACTGCTTTCAAGTGTGAGAGCAGAGTAAGCTGTTGATTGACTCATTGGAACCATCTGAAGGAGCACTGACTCATTCAAATGAAGAACGCTACCTGCCCACGCTGCAGTCAGGAGGAAGTCAAGAATGCAACATAATTACAGGCTAAGTCCATGTCAATGGTTTATTAAAGCCCCTCCAATTATGTTTTTTTAAGTAGATATGCCCACTAGTTACAATAATTTGAAAATCGTAGACAATTCTTTGTAAACTATGAAGAGAACCTATTCCTAAAGTTCATCAACATGGCACACAGAAATAGATCAGCAAGTTAATGACCCGTCCTCAAACACTTTATCACACACCTTTGGAGAAGGTTGCACATGATTCAGCAAGGAAATATATCGTTTCTGTTCATTTTAGACACTAATAATGCTGGACAACCCATTGTACATTTGGGATTAAATTCTCAGTATTCTTAAAAGAAGGCGCACTTCTTTTACTGTTCCCCCTTTTTAATATTTCAGAAAGTCATCAAAAAATGACCCGGTTTTTGAAACTCTTTGATGTGGTAATGAGTATTATACATGCAAAGATGGATTAAGGAAGGAAGATTTCAGTGAGCCTGTACAAACTGTATATCACACAGGTTGATTTATCACCCATTAGATCAGAATAGGTATTCTATTTTTTCTCTTACAAATGAAACGATTTACTTTGAGAGGAACAACTTATTATTTGTTCTACTCCCTTTTATATACGTATTAAACTATAGTATTGTAATAAACTAAATTTTTATTCTGATTTGTATTTTAAAATCTAGTTTCCTGAAGTTATGTTGCTCAGCCAAATTATTTCACAGTATTGTTCAACATTGTTGAAAAAAAAGCAGAACCAAGTTTGGAGCCCATTTTTTGTTGACTTGATACAGATTGTCCTTGAATTTTGTTGAAAATATTGGTGTTCAGCAGTGCTTATATGAAAATTGTGCTTACTTCCCTAAGGGTTTTCAGCATCAGGCCAGACATCTAAAAGAATAATTACACAAGCCTAAATTAACACTGATAAATTCTGTTCGTGGGGAACTTTCCAATTCACAGAGCACTTTCAGAAATTCACAGGACTGCACAGAGTGAAGGATTCTGAAGCTCAAAAAGGTAAATGCCCTTTTCCAAGGGCGACAAGCTAGGGAGACTTAAGCCCTTGAACTAGAAGTCCAGTTCCTGTGTGTGTTCCAGATGTTGTGAGTTCCGCCATCTTGCCCTATCTAATATCTTGCCTCTCTGGTACCTTAAATCTATCACCTGACATTAGTATTCCAGTAATATATCTTCCCCTTTAAATTAATGGTGGCATCGTAGAATTTAGATCATCTCTATCTTAATAGTGCATAACAGTATTCAATAATTTGAAAAACAGAGAACAGGAAATGCAGTTTCCAAGAAAATGAAGGCTTGGTAAGAACTGTGCCTCTCTTAAGATCACCCTCATTTTTTTTTTATTGCCATCTATAAAAATGTTTTACAACATTGGTGTTATGTTCTCCAAAATATTCTAAAAGAATATTATGAAACATTGTTTTCCATGAATTTGATATATTTTCATCTAGAAGCAAGTCATATATACTTTATTGAATTTCTTTATGTCATTAAGTTTAGCATAGACTGCATTAATAGGATTTCTAATTGGCTTCTTAGAAATAATTACTTAAACACTAGTAATGTTGAAAGTTTTAAAATATTACATCCATATATATGAATTAATATACACATTTAGAGGCATGAGTGTCAAATAATTTCAAAACCAGTATCACGAAATTAACAGGAGAGGGAATTTAAACAGTAGCCATATGACTAAGGGATGAACAACACATTTTTTTTTTAATTTTTAAATTGCCTCATCCACATTGGATAAAATATCATTGGCTTCTTCAATGATCAGGTTAAAAAGAGAGATTACAATTGCCATCAAACTTATTTTCAGACAGGTTAATCAAAAGCAAAGCTGTTCTGATTCTGCCTGTATTTAACTTACTAACACATTGTTTAATATCTTTTTTACAATTTACAGAAAACCAACCTTATTCTCAAAAGATCCAGAAATAATCCAGAAATAAAGATCCAGTTTTAATGCCTTCTTTTATTATTAGTTTCAGGTGTACAGTGCAGTGTCCAGGCATCCATACAACTTATGAGGAGACCCCTGTCAAGTCCAGGACCCACCTGACACCTTACAGTTTTACAACCTTATTGATTATAGTCCCCATACTGCACTTCACATCCCCATGACTATTTTGTAACTACCAATTTATACTTTCTAATCCCTTCACGTTTCTCACCCATCCCCCTTTACCCCCCCTCCCATCTAGCAAAAAAAAAAATCTGTTCTTTAGATTCCAAATATAAGAAATATCTCATGACATTTGTCTTTCTCAGTCTGACTTATTTCACTTAGCATAATATACTCTAGGCCAATCTACGTTGTTGCAAATGGTAAGATTTCTTTCTTTTTTATGGCAGAGTGATACCACAATTTCTTTATCCAGTGGTCTATTGAGGGGCATTTCAGTTGTTTTCATATCTTGGCTCCTGTGAATAGCACTGCAGTAAACATATATATATATATATATATATATATATATATATATATATATATATATATATATATATATATATAATTAGTGTTTTGGATTTCTTTGATAAATACCCAGGAGTGGAAATGCTGGGTCATAAGGTAGCTCTACATTTAATTTTTTGAGGAAACTTCATACTGTGTTTCATAGTGGCTGCACCAATCTGCAGTCCCACCAACAGAGAACAAGGATTCCCTTTTCCCCACTTCCTCACCAACACTTGTTTGTTGATTTATTGATGATGGCCATTCTGACAGGAGTGAGGTAGTGTCTCATTGTAGTTTTATTTGCATTTCTCTGATGATTAGTGACATTGAGCATCTTTTCATATATCTGTTGGCCATCTGTATGTCCTCTTTAGAGAAATGTCTCTTCATATCCTCTGTCCATTTTTTAATTGAGTTGTTTGTTTTCTTGGTGTTGAGTTGCATGAGTGTTTTATAAATTTTGGATATTAACCCCTTATCAAATATCTTCTCCCATTCAGTAGGCTTCCTTTTTGTTTTATTGATGGTTTCCTTTGTTGTGAAAAAACTTTTAAGTTTGATGTAATCTCATATGTTCATTTTTTCTTCTACTTCCCTTGCCTACAGGGATGTATCAGTAAAAATATTACTCAAGGTAATGTCTGCAAATTTAGTCCCTGTATTTTCTTCTAGGAGCTTTATGGTTTCAGGTCTTACGTTTGAGTCTTTAATCCATTTTGAATTTGTTCTTGTATATGGCATAAGGAGGTGGTCCAGTTTCTTTTTTTGCATATGTTAGTCCAATTTTCCCAGCACCATTTGCTAAACAGACTATCTTTACCCCAATGTAAATTTTTGCTTCCAATGTCATAGATTAAATGACCATATAGGCATAGGTTTATTTCTGGGCTCTCTATTCTGTTCCATTGATTTGTGTGTCTGTTTTTATGCCAGTACCATACTGTTTTGATTACTGTAGCCTTGTAGTATGATTTGATATGAGGTAGCTTGATACCTCCAGCTTCGTTCTTCTTTCTCAGGATTGCTGGGGCTATTCGGGGTCGTCTGTGGATTTTAGGATCATTTGTATCGTACTACATTACTAAATTCATTTATCAGTTGAAATAGTTTTTTGGTGGAATCTTTGGGGTTCTCTCATTTGGAGTTTCATCTCATCTGCAAATAATGTCAATTTTACTTCTTCCTTTGCCGTTTGGGTGCTTTTTATTTCTTTTTCTTGTCTGGCTGCTGTGGCTAGGAATTCTAATACCATCCATGTCCTGTTCCTGATCTTTAGGGGAATGCTTTCACCATTGAGTATGATATTA